GTAATATTAAAGTTGGAGTCTAGCTTATGTTGACCAAGGTAATGATGAAATTTTAAGTTGAAAGCTTATGTCGGAAAACAAAATCATTTCTTATCAAATTTTAACACCACAGTCAGGAATCAATGGATATACAAGGCAAAAGAAGTGAGAAAATCAGCCCAGATGAGAAACTATGCACATTGCATATTGACTAGTCTATTATAAAACAGTGGCACAAGTACATGATTATTTTGATTCTTGAGCCTTGATTGATTATAGATAACATCAAATGTAGTATACTTTGGGGGAGAAAAGATTGGACTATAAGAGGAAATTCTATTTGAAGCTTTGTACAATTATAAGACATAAGGAGGACACAAATCTCATTACGAGTAGATTTGGGAGAAAAACAGAGACAAAGCTTAAACTGTGACTTATTTGGGAAACATCAATGTATCGTGATAAGGCCAGCCATTTTAAATTACTCATATGAGCCAGCTTTATGTCATTGGGTAAAAATTCACAGTAACCCTGGAGAAAATTAAGAATGTGTGAATCATTGAAAATTAAGAATGTATTGTGTGCAAATGGTGACATGAGGGTAGCCTGAGTCATATGAGCTCCTTGGGAACAAAGACCAACTTTGTGTAGCAAGTTGACTTTGTACTCTTATTATCTAAAAAGAACCTCTGCATGTACTTACTGACAAAAGTTGACATCTACTCTGGGTATGGAATAGCTGTCCCTGTCTCTCAGGCATTATACCATTAAGGCCAACAGATTGCCATTATTGACATTTTGATGTCCCCAAAACAGTTTCAATGATAACCACATGACCGTAGAAGAATATACCTCCTTCATTCTGTTACGAGAAGTGCAAGAATCTTCAGTTCTTTGTCCTTACTTCAAGAAAACATTCTGCTTTCAAGTCTTTTCCAATGGAGAGTAGGCCTTTGTTATGGGGGATGCTCTGAACTATTTCAGAATGGTTCTTACACTCTCTCTCTCTCTCTGCCAGAAAACAAAGGATCTTTTTCTTTGCTTTTCACTATGAGAACTCGATTTGGTTTTTGGAGGTAAATTCCAAGAAAGTGGGATGGGGTCAGGTTGCCCTAAGTCTATGGTGCTAGGAGTTCCTCTCTCTCAAACTAGTCCATACTCAGCCTCTGGCAATTTGTCAGAACTACTATTTAAGTGTTACTACTAGCATGTGTCTCATGCAACGACTTTTTAAAAAAATTTTATTTTTATTTTTTGTGACTCTCTCACTGTGTCGCCCAGGCTAGAGTGCGGGGGTGCGATCTTGGCTCACTACAGCCTCTGTCTCCTGGGTTCAGGCGATTCTCCTGTCTCAGCCTCCCAAGTAGCTGGGATTACAGGCACCCACCACCATGACAGGCTAATTTTTGTATTTTTGTACAAAAATACAAAGACAGGGTTTCACCATGTTGGTCAGGCTGGTTTTGAACTCCTGACCTCAAGTGATCTGCCTGCCTCAGCCTCCCAAAGTGCTGGGATTACAGGGGTGAGCCACTGCACCAGCCTGATTCATGCAACTTCTACTTTAGGTAAGTAGATTTAGGCTGTTATTCTCTGTATTTAATTGTCTCTAGATTTTGGGGTGGCAACTTTTTTTCTGACTTTAATTATCTGATGAGACTTAGGAACATCATTGATTTTTAATGGGTTCAGCTGTTACTTTCCTTTTCTTCTTCTACGACTTTTTAAAAAAATTTTATTGGGATTGAATCTTGCTCAGTCAGCCAGGCTGGAGTGCAGTGGTGCAGTGGTGCAATCTCAGCTCACTACAACCTTTGCCTCCCAGGTTCAAGTGATTCTCCTGTCTCAACGAGTAGCTGGGACTACAGGCATGCACCAACGTGCCCAGCTAATTTTTTGTATTTTTAATAGACACAGGGTTTCATCATGTTGGCCAGGATAGTCTCGAACTTCTTGGCCAGACTGGTCTCGAACGCCTGACCTCATGGTCTGCCCACCTTGGCTTCCCAAAGTGCTGGGATTATAGGCGTGAACCAACTCACCTGGCCAAGTTTTTTTTTTTTTCTTTTTTTCTTGTGAGGTTTGGAGTAATGACTCTCAAGCTCTTTACATATTGGAACTAAAACTGGAGGTTCCTGGTATTCTTTTCCACTTCTGTAGTAATTCCCTTTCTTTGGAAACCACTTTCTCTGCCCAGCTAAGTCTCTATTATTCGGACTGCTAGTGCACATTATGCCTTACAGTGGGAGGGTCAGAAGTACTGTCACGGGCTCCCTCTGCAATGGTGTTTGTCAGCCTTTTCTTCCTCCAGGATAGCCGCTTCCATTGAAGTGAGTCTCTGATAGTCCTCAGGAATGAAGTAAAGCCTGTTCTGCTCCTACAGTGAGATACCAGGGCAAAAGCTGCTATGCAGTGTTCGTGCGGCATGTGGTGGAGTCCCTGTGTCTTTTGGCGTTTTCGTTACCAACTACCTTTTTCTGCTTCTGAACTGGTAAAGCAGTTTCTACTCTGCTCCAAGCTTTACTAGAATATTTTTAGTCCCCATATCTTGGTGACCTTTGGCGGGAGAAGGGATTCCAAGTTAGATACAGGCAGTTTCCCTAAGTGTAGACACACACCCCTATCTACAGCACTCATCCATGCCAACTGGAGGAAATCCATTTCTATCCATTTCCCTTTGACCCCTGCATCCCAGTCACCCCTTTGTTGCAATGCCCGAGGCTCTGAATCACTACAAGCGGCTGCACTCTGTTAAATTACAGATAACTCTTTTGCAATATGTACGCCTCTCATTTACAGAATCCCCAGCCCCCAAGTTCAAGATAGGAATCTGGTTACAAAGAAACAAGGACTTGAAATAGCAAACACAAAATCTGCACGCTGAGGTCAGTTTAGGTCATTATCTTTGTAGCTGAGCCTTCAGGCCCCAGAAATGGCGCCCCCTGCTGACAAAACTTTGAAGCCTTCAAGTTGCTTCCAAATTTTCTGTTTTCAGGAAGAGTACAGAAGGAAAGGATATGGATTCAAAATTAAAAGCCGGTTGAGGCAGGAGAATAGGACCTGGAGGCAGGAAATGAAAGGACTTTCTAGGACTAAATCAAATGAAACATTTCCGCAATGACAGGGAATATCCTATTTACCAAAGCCACACCCTGAGTAACATCCCCTCCATTTATGTAGAGTACATACTCATTACATAGTCATTTACGAGTAAATTGACTTTGTAACTTTAGTTCATCCTCTTCATTTACATAGGGTATACGCCTCTAGAGGATACTGAAACCCCAGAAAATTCTGTAACAGAAGCTCTTGAGCCCTTCCACTGGGCCTGCTCTCACGCTGTAGAGTGTTCTTTCATTTTTGATAAATCTCTGCTTTTGTTGTTGCTTCGCTTTTATTTTTGTTTTATTTTATTTTATTTTATTTTTTTGAGACGGAGTTTCGCTCTTGTTACCCAGGCTGGAGTGCAATGGCGCGATCTCGGCTCACCGCAACCTCTGCCTCCTGGGTTCAGGCAATTCTCCTGCCTCAGCCTCCTGAGTAGCTGGGATTACAGGCACGCACCACCATGCCCAGCTAATTTTTTGTATTTTTGGTAGAGACGGGGTTTCACCATGTTGACCAGGATGGTCTCGATCTCTTGACCTCGTGATCCACCCGCCTCGGCCCTCCAAAGTGCTGGGATTACAGGCGTGAGCCACCGCGCCCGGCCCTTTTTTTGTTTTTTTGAGACTGAGTCTCACTCTGTCCCCCAGGCTGGATGGAGTACAATAGCATGATCTTGGCTTATTGCAACCTCCGCCTCCCAGGTTCAAGCGATTCTCCTGCCTTAGCTTCCTGAATAGCTAAGACTACAGGCACATGCCACCACACCTGGCTAATTTTTGTATTTTTAGTACAGACGGGGTTTCTCAATGTTGGCCTCCTGGTCTCAAACTCCTGACCTCAGGTGATTCACCTACCTTGGCCTCTCAAAGTGCTGGGATTACAGGTACTGTGAGCCACTGCTCCTGGCCTGTTTGTGCATTTTGTTCAGTTCATGATCAAGATGCCAAGAAAATGGCCACTCTCCACCGGTAACACAGTGAGTACTAAGTGTGGGTTCTCACCACCCAGGAATCAGTTTTAGATCTTTCCTCTTCCCATCATCTCTGAAGGCATTTGTGGCAGTCATTCCATCTAGTATTTCTGGGGCATTGGGACTGCTGAGTCATAATTAGGAGTGGGGCATACACAGTGGAAATTTTGGGTGGGCTCCGGAGAATCTCAGGGCAGGAGGAGCCTGAACCTGCAGGATGCTCCATGGACAACGTGCAGGAAGCTGCATCTGGAGACATCACCAGAGGGTGACCAGAACTTTCACAACCCTGGGAATCTGTAATTCCTATTGGAATAGACACAGAGCCTGTTTTCTTTTGTGTGAGATGCCAGGGATCTTCTATTTGCCTAAAGAAAGTGCTAGATAATCTCTTGATCCTGTCTCCAACCCTAGGTCTGTTTTTACTGCTGTTTTGTTTTTAATCTCAGCACCCTCAGCCCTCCACGCTCCACAGTACCTCTCCTGAGCTAGGCACCCTTCCAGTTCAAGTGGCTCTCATCTGCTCTCCCTGAGATGAAGACAACTGTTTTTCTCCTCAGGGCTGTTTGGCCACTGAGACCGTACTCATATGTCTTTAAACCTAAATGTTTTCAGTTATTCTTAAACCCTAAATGTGTTTTAAGCTATTCTTGAGAATATTGGAGACTTAATAACAACGCTCCTACTGTCTTCAAGTTATGAAAGGGAAACATCTTAGAGCAGAGAGATAAATTTGATGTTTCTGCTAAACGGGCCATTATTTCAAGCGTTCATCTTTAACAAACCCATGCAGTTTTAGAATTTCAATGTTTAATATGGGATATGAGTACATTTGTATTGTTTATAATGGATTGTAGGAAGGCTAAAGCTAACAGATGACACTTCACGGTTGGCATCTATGGCCCTCAGGGATTCTCAGAAGCTTCAGAATTTTTTTTTTTTCCTCATTCAGTAACTGTGCTGCTCTGCACTGCTGAGTACAAAAGATTCAAAAGATCTTCACTGATTGGTGGGCTGGAGCTACATCTGTAGGGCTGAGGTCTGAAAGTCCAAGCTCTGTGCACTATTAGCCCTATCAGCATTTCCTCTGCCCTCAGCCTGCCCTTCTCTGAGCCATTCATTCTCAGACTACCACCAGCAAGTTTCACAGGTGGAGGCAACTGCAGGATTTCAGATTGGGGAAGTTATCCCAGCTTTTTCTGTCTCCAAGTTGTTCTGTCTTCTCATACAGGAGAGACTTGCTCTTTGAGAGACTATAATAATGAATAGAACACATTAAATAAATTTTAGTAGACAAAATAAGTGAACATTTTACACATATCCTTTTGCAAGGCAAAAGGTAGCATAACCAACCAATAAAATTGCAAATTAAAATTGGTTCATTATTGGTAATTAAAATATTTTTTAAAGTACACAGTTCTATGATAATAAGCTTTAGAATCTGTATAAAATAATTATTTGAAAAATAAAAATGTCTAACATTCACCAAAAGGCAGAAACATTTCACAAGAAAAACATTAGAAGATATGCAAAATTATTTTCCACATATTGATGCTTTCCAAGTATTGATGCCCGTGGTGGCCCAGTTGTCTGAATTAGTTCTGCAGGTAGAGGTTGGCAGAGAAGACAGCCCTGCTGTGCCTTGCTCAGGGAGGGCTTGGGGGCCTGGGAGAGCTGTGTGAGTAAAGCCAGAAGGATCTGAGAGGACAGATACTTTACTGCTGCACTGGGGTCTGTAAATAATTTCCCAGCTGGCTCTCTCTGCCTGTATAAACAAGCCTTGAGGATATGACCCTTCCCCATCTTTGTTACCCCCTTCTCCGTTTACATAGAGCTCTAAGTACACTCCCATGGAAATATTTACATATTCTTGAATGCACTAAACTTCCTCATTTTTCTGTCCGGGTCCTTTCTACCACCCAGAGGCACAACTGAGCTGACAGTGAGGCACCAGAAGAATGCCTAAGATTTTCCAAAAGTGGTGATTTTCCTACCATTAATATATTATATGTTGGTAGTGTGAAAGAAACAAATCTTGGAGCTTGGAAATCACTAGACTAAAGAGAAAAGTCAAGCTGGGAACTGCTTAGGGCAAACCTGCCTTCCATTCTATTCAAAGTCATCCCTCTGCTCACTGATACAAATGCATATCTGACTGACTCCTTTGGAAAGCCTAATCAGAAACTCAAAAGAATGCAGCAGGTCTCTCACCAACCTGTGACCTGAAAGTCCCCTCCCTGCTTGAGTTGTCCCACCATTTCAGACAGAATTGATTTATAGCTCACATCTATTGATTGATGTCTCATGTCTCTCTAAAATGTGTAAAACCAATCTGTGCTCTGACCACCTCAGGTACATGTCATCAGGATCTCTGAAGGGGACACATGTCTTCAACCTTGGCAAAATAAACTTTCTAAATTATCTGAGCCCTGTCTCAGATTTTTGGGGATCACACTAGACAGTTGTTAAGAAATAACAAAAAGAGATTAAAGATATGACATAGTTGCCTTTCCATTGAGCTCAGAGAAATGGGTTTTTAAAAAGGAAAAAAACTCAAGTGAACAAAATAAATGATGAAAAATTGAATGTTATGCACACAGAACTGATGGACTAAGGTAATCTACACATCTCAACTCATGTTTTAATGAATCTGTCTAATGCTTTACTATTGTAAATGAAAGAGTATCTGAGAAAACTCTCAATCAATTTAGGAAATTCATTTTGCTAAGGTTAAAGATGCACCCATGACACAGCCTCAGGAGGTCCTGAAAATATCTGCCCAAGATGGTGAGGGCACAGCTTGGCTTTATACATTTCAGGGAGACATGAGACATCAGTCGATATAAGTAAATGTACATTGGTTCAGTCCACAAAGGCAGGACAACTGACGCAGGGAGGGGACTTCCAGGTCATAGGTAGATAAAAGACAAACAGGTTGCATTAAATAACACGGCAAAGTAAGTAACCAGATATTCATTTGTCTCACCTGAGCCAAGGTATGACTTTGAGTTCTGTCTGGAAATGTGTAGCTTATCTTAGTAGCTGTCTTTTTTTGGAATAGAATAGGAGGCAGGTTTGCCCTAAACAATTCCCAACCTGCCTTTTTTTTTTAGTTTAGTAATTTTTGGGTCCCGAAATTTTTTTCCCTTTCATACTATCTAAATGTATTAGTTACCAATATTGAAATAAGGAAAAGAAATCTGAAAGTGTTAGGTTGGACAAAAGTAATCGCAGTTCTCGCCATTATGACTTTTAATGGCAAAAGCCATGATTACTTTTGCACCAACCTAGCAATAATTGACTCCCTTAAAAGTGGTCAAAGCATATTCCATAGGTATTGGATGTGAATACTTTCTATGGGAAAGCTGTTAAACTTCCAACAAGTTTATAATTGTCCCACCTGGGAATCGTCCTTGATCGCCATGCATGAGTCAGACGGAGAGGGCAAAAGGGAAAATTGTACCTTGTCAGGCAGTTTTCAAAGCTGTCATCTTTTGATATGTAACGTGCTCTACACGACGTAGAAGACTAGGATTGTTTTGATGCATACAGCACAGAAAATGAATCTCTCAACTTATATTCCTCATGAAAACAGAACATGCTGTTTGTGGAGGCACAAATGTGGGGTCATCCAGTGACCAAAAGAGTGGCAAGGTTTCTTGTTCAAGGTTCCACCTCATTAGGTTTGATTTCAAGGTTACCTCAGTTTCAAAGCAGCCCTTTCTGTCCAGGGCCCAAAACTCCTGATTTAATACTTACAACTAGTGGTTCTCAGCTTCAGATTCACATATAACTTACGTGGAAGACTTTTCATTTTTAAATAATGTTACTGATGTTTATGTCACGTGAAATAATATGTACCCATTTACAGTGCACAGTTTGATGCGTTTTGAAAACGTTTTACACCTGTGTAGCTACCACACAATGGAGATTTAGAACATTTCCAACACTCCCCTAAGTTCCCCAGGTCCTTTGTACCCAAGTTTTCTCACCATCATCCACCTCTCTGCCACTCCATCTCCTAGGGGATGACTGGGTATTTTAGTAGGTGGCAGGCAAGTGGATTGTTGAAGGATGAGTCAAGTTGGTAAACTGATTCGAGGAACCATATGCAACCATGAAAGTGGTAGGAAAAGGGGATTTTGGTGCTCTAGCTGACCTGGCAGGCAGAAAGGGTTAAAACAGGGCTTTTCAAACACAGCACTGTTGACGTTTTGGAATGGATAATTCTTTGTTGTGGGAGATGTCCTGTACATTGCACAATGCTTAGCAGCATCTGTGACCTATGCCCATTAAGATGCCAGTAGCATCCCCCTAGTTATGAAGGAATAAAACCTTTTGGGTCAATGGGGAACTTTTTGGAAGCCCTAGCACGGGAAAAGGTCAACACGGGTACTTCAACCACATCAGGAGGCTTGTTCAAAATACCAGTTAGCTGTTCAACCACATTCCGATACTGCTCGCAAGTTAAACAGTCACTAAGAAACAACCTCCAAAAAGAGAAAATGAGGTGACTCATGGTCACAAGCCCTTTCCCCACTCAGGAATAGGGGGCAATCACTCTGCAACTCAGAATTACTTGGGGATATAAGCCCAGGCAGCCCTTTCCAACCACGGCAACTCTCTCGGGTCCCCTTCCACCCTTCCATGCTGTGGAAACTTTTACTTTCCCTTGCTCAATAAATTGCATTGCTGCTCACTCTCGCCGTCCGCGAACGCTTGTCTGGAGCTGGAACACTCACCGTGGGGGTAAGGCTCTCTGCTCGATTCTTCGAGCAAGGGAAGCCAAGAACCCGAGCCCGGAGTCCAAGCTGGGCACGGAAAAGGCCCTCCTCAGGGCCGTCTGTGAACCCCACAACAGCAGAGCCGATTACAGTTCTAACAACCAAATATCTCTTCAGACATTGCCAAATGTGCCCTCTAGTGCAGAGCCTCCATTCCGCCCTTGAGAATCACTGGATTAAGAGAGCATGACCTTCTGTCCAGCGGTTTTTCTACAGGACTACACAGCCCATTTCACCTGGACGCTCCTTGCCCTTCCCTCTTCCTGACAGCCCTAAAAATTTCACTTTCATTTCTCAGCCAGTTCCTGCTCAGGAGGGAGGGACTTCTCGAGGAGGGAGGAACCTCATTTGTTAAATGAATCCTGACCACACCCACCCTGGCTTTTCACCTCTTCAACCCGGACCGAGATTTCTGTTGGCCTGAAGGTCTGTGGGGAGGTTTGTGGGGGGTAGAGGGTATGAGACTCCAAGAGAAAAGTTCTGAATGAAGTTAGGGGAATTTGATTTGCGGCCCTGAGGCTACCCTGCAGTGTTGGGAGCAAAGGCTAGCTTGCAAGCTTCCTGCTTTGAGTGCACGCTGATCTGATCTCTGATCGCAGCCTACAGTCTGGGGAGGGACAGCCTTGAAAGGAGTGTTAGGCAGAAGGCCTCCTTTGTTTTCTGGAATGACTTATTTTTTTTTCTCCAGGCTGAATCTATTTCCATTCCCTTCCTATTCTATAGTCTTGATTTTCTACCTTGCAAAGGAAACTGAATTCTCTCTCTCTCTTTTTCTAAGAGATCAACAACAAAACAAAAACAAAAAAAGAGATGAACAGAAGATCTCTTCTTTTCCACCCACTTCTCTCTTCTCAAAAGAGAAGGTGGTGAGAGGAGGTCTGTTTTCCAAGCCTGTGCAGGTCTGAGCTCCTAGTATGCAGCTTTACATAGAATGGAACCAGAGGGGCATGACCACGGGAAATATTGAAGCGGGTTCTTTCACTGCCCTCCTAGCAACCACTAAAGCGCTTTCTGTAGCCATCCTCACGTATCCTTAGTCCTTGGCCTGCCAGACAACAGCAGCTTGAGTTATCTGACTGCAGCACACCACTCTGTTCCCTCTTACCGTACCTGTGTCATTCTGCAGCCGGACTCAGGGCTCTCCTTGCACGTCCCTGAATATAGCTGTAAGGGTCATTGCTGAGTTTAAAATGAGGAAACTGAGGCCAGTATAAGAAAATTAAATGCCAATTTATTCAGCTCCCGGCGAGGTTCCATGGTCCCGCGAAAAGGGGCAAGAGAAGTCGCGCTGACTTCCTAAGGCGTAGGGTTTTTATAGCTATAGCCAGCGAGGAGGAGGAGCAGGGTGCTCTGATTGGTGTTGGGGAGCGAGATTCAAACGGGGTTGATTCATTGGTTGGCGGGTTGGCGAACAGAGGCGGTAGGGCTAGGTGTCGAGTGCAGAGCCTGGTGCCGGGTGCAGGGCTAGGTGCTGAGTGCAGAGGTGGGTGCTTTGCCACGCTGGGGGAGCTACGTGGCAGAGCTAGATGTTGAGTTGCAGAGCCTGGTGCCGGTGCGCGGAGATGGGAGGTGTGTCCGAGCTCCTGGGGAGGCAACCGGCCTTAGGACATCTGCTTACTTTTACTTCAGTAACCCACATGCCACCAGCGTCTTCACCTATCATAGAACTTGTTCCTCATCATTCTTCCTCTTCGACACATCTTTGCGTTGATTTGTAACCACTGTTTCTTACTGTTTTTCTTTGCTCGGAACTACTTAACAGAAGTTGTTTATTGTGGGCTCTGAAGGCACCCACAGATTTAATCTTCTTGTTAAGAATTTGACATAGAGTATGTCCTATCTTAAGCTCACTCGTGAGCCATTTGTACCTTGATTGATATGTGACAGATAATCTGACACATGCCATTCTGGCCTCTGCTCTCATCCTTCAGAGTTCACTGTAACTGCCTTTCTGTGTCTCTGCCTTACTCCTGGGTAGAATCCATGTCTGCCTACTTACTGTCTCCCAGATGCATCCAGACAGGCACAAGGCCCAACATATGGGATAAAATTGATTACAAAGCAGGCTGCTGGTGTGAAAATGTGCAGTTAGCATCCATTCACCATTAGATAAATAAATATGAAATATACACGAAGGTCTACATTTTAATTAGAAAGCAATCATTGACCATGTCAATAAATAATAGCGTACACAGGAAGATGACTAATACTATGGAGTAACATCTTTAAGAAGTTAAATTAGGGTAAGGACTCTGTAAAGACCTCATAAAGTCCTTGCAGCTTTAAATAGTTTTTATGAAAGTTTTAAATAGATTTCATTGTAAGAAGACTACATTTGAATAGAATCTTAAGAATGTGAGGAAATTACGGGCCGGGCGCGGTGGCTCAAGCCTGTAATCCCAGCACTTTGGGAGGCCGAGGCGGGTGGATCACGAGGTCAAGAGATCGAGACCATCCTGGTCAACATGGTGAAATCCCGTCTCTACTAAAAATAAAAAAATTAGCTGGGCATGGTGGTGCGTGCCTGTAATCCCAGCTACTCAGGAGGCTGAGGCAGGAGAATTGCCTGAACCCGGGAGGCGGAGGTTGCGGTGAGCCGAGATCGCGCCATTGCACTCCAGCCTGGGTAACTTGAGTGAAACTCCGTCTCAAAAAAAAAAAAAAAAAAAAAAAAAAAGAATGTGAGGAAATTAAAAGCTTTAGTGGTTTTTCCCCGGGCTTAAACAGAGAACAGTGTGGATATGGAAGATTGAGATGGGAGTTTGCAGAGAGAGGAATAAAAGATGAGCTCTGCGGATTTAGGAAGTGGGAAGGGCTGTGTGATGTGGACCTAACTGGACCGTTATGAAGTCTGGCCTCACTCTGGATGGTATGGGTTTGAACAGAAACATGACATGTTGTCAATCATGTCACTTTAAGGTGATCACTCTGTCTACTGATGTAAGAACAAAGATGAGAGCAGAGTGAAGAAGAGCAATGATGGCCGGGTGCAGTAGCTCACGCCTATAATCCCAGCACTTTGGGAGGCTGAGGCAGGTGGATCACCAGAAGTCGGGACTTTAAGACCAGCCTGGCCAATATGGTGAAACCCCGTCTCTACTAAAAATACAAAACTTAGCCGGGCATGATGGCATGATGTACCTGTAATCCCAGCTACTTGGGAGGCTGAGGCAGAAAATCACTGAACCCAGGAGGCCGAAGTTTCAGTGAGCCGAGATCGTGCCACTACATTCCAACCTGGGTAAAAAGAGTGAAACTCCATCTCAAAAAAAAGAAGCAGCAGAAGGGCAATGATAGGATCAGCAAGACTACTAGTGGGAGAACAATTTCCTGAATTTAGGTGATTTCTGTTGGAGTGGTGAGAGTTGAAGTGGTTGGAACTAATTTGAAAAAAACTCAGCATATTCTCATGAAGTAACAGAAAAAGACAAGATTATGGGTTGACTAATAAATATGATTCTATGTTAAAAAATAATTTTCTGGAAATCTATTGACCAGAACGCATCAGCTCTTCAGGAGAGAGTCATTATTGTGGTACAGATTGAGCCCTGAACTCTAAGGAATAGCTGAAGCAAGAACTCTGTGCATAGAATGGGGAGGAGATGTGATGTTTCTGAGATCTCCTGGCCTCTGAATGTCAAAATAGGCTTTACTTTCCTTATTGGCAGTTTCTGACTAAGGAACCAGAAGAATTGTCTAGGATATTGTCTAGAAACTTGGAAAGACATCCTCCCCTAACAGTCACTCTTAGAGACACTCTAATTTTACTATCTAATCTGCAGAGAGACTTAGAGTTTGCATTATCATATCCAGGTGTTAGGAATCCAGCTTTTAGGAGGAGACTCAAATGAAGGGCGCAGTCATCTGGCAGCTGTGGTAACCAGGCAACGTGGGAGTTCTGTTAGGCCGAGGGCACTCACGTTCCCTTCTCTACCTCCCTGACGGCTGCTGGGCTTGGGCCCCATTGAGAAGTGGTGGAGTCATTTCTCACATGTGGGACCCAGACTGCTGTGCACTTTTCTCATTGTTTTGCCACTATGGTGGCAGCAGCTTTGGCATACATGCAGCCTCACTGTGAACATGAAGTCACAGTCATGGTAGAATGCATGTTCTACTACTTCCTCTCCTGGAGCTCCCTGGTATTTCTCACTATTGGTTGGATACGGATTGGAATAAAGGATAACAAAAAACCCCACATCTGTGGTTGGCTCATAGTTTTAGCCATAAACAAGGGCGAATATTATCATATCATATAAACTCCTGGTCTTGCTAGTCATCAGAGCCTGGTCTGACTCATGGTCATTGTAGCCAGGGGGCTACCAGCATATCGCTTTTGTGTGATTTTTAGTATCTATACTGTTGGCTGGATTACACTCGCCAGCTAACTTTCAGCCTTTTTCCCTCTTTAAGGTCTTTTGATGGACTGTTAGAGGAGTAGACAGGTCTCAAGGCCTAGATTTACCTCCATACAGCTTTCATCATACCCCATCCTTTTGCCAAGCGTGGGGAAGATTCCTAGGTTGTCACACTTCATAGATCTTTCCTTCACTATCAAACCTTTTCAGTTGTATTCATTTCCTAGCACCGTTGTGACCAATTATCTCCAACTAGATGACTTAAAACAATAGGGATTTTTATCACAGCTCAGGAGTCCAGAAGTCCAAAACCAAGATAGTGGCAAACTTGATTTTTTCAGAAGATTCTATGTGAGAATCGGTTCAATTCCTCGCACCTAGCTTCTGGTGGTTTCTAGCCAACTCTGGCATTCTTTGGCTTATATCTGTGCTGCTCCCATCTCTGCCTCTATTGTCACATGGCTTTCTTTCCTGTGTGTCTGTATGTCTTCTCCTCTTCTTATAAGAATACAGATCATTAAATTTAAGGCCTGTCTTTATCCAGTATGACCTCATCTTAACTTGATTACATCTACAAGGATGTGATTTTTAAATAAGGTCACATTCACATAAGTGAACATATTTTTGTAGAGGGTGTAATTTGATCTACTAGAGCAAGTATCAAAATGTTACTATCTATTGAGATTGACCCTTTTCCCCTTTGCCTTACAGTTTCTTGTCTAAACCAACTTCAGGTTCTGAGAATTGGCATTGTATCACCATGCCACCACTCTGTGGTATTACCCTCTGACTGACCACAAGCAATAATTGT